TGCAAAAGAAGAGCGATTTTGATTGTTTGAGCCTTGGCACGAATTGACGATTTTGGTCGATTTTTGCATGGATTCGCTCTTAATTGTTGTATGTTTTTCCTTTTTCTAGAGATCCAACGTCCCAAAGCTTGATAAAAAGTGAGCGTAAAAACTATCTTTTCAGAATTTTCATATTTTTTACGAACAAATCATAACAAGAAAAATTGTCTGTTTGTTAAAATGATACTTTAAAAAGGAGCTGAAGTAAGCTCCTCTAACTCCAGTCAAAACTTTTTCCGGTGCTCTCAGTGATTATTTTACACAAGGAGGGCTGATTTATCCAATTTTATGATTGTTGGATATCTTGAGGTAGACCTCTAATCAGATTTGTCTGGAGCTCGAGTTTAGACGTCAGTGCCGTGTCATCAGATGATGAAGGGTTGGAATCAGATACATTTACATTTCTTCTCTCAGTTTCCCAGTTGATAGACAAGTTCTCAAAATAGACGGGGAGATTTTTACCCTCCATTTAAAGTTGTTTGCTATGTTGTTTAATTTATCTTTTGGATCGTGTATTGTGATCGTGGCAGTAGTCTGACAGCACTTGCAAAAGGGATGCGCTTATTTGCGAGTCATTCGCTATGTTGTGTAATTAGAGCGGAACGTATACTGTGAAAGAAAAAAAAAGAAAGAGAGAGGAACTGTTTTGGCTAACCAACAACCATAGGTCCTTAGAATACGTTGTTCTTGAGTATATCATTCATTTAAAAAGAGATCAGCCTTTACACTCGAGCTCTTTCAAACAATTACCAATTTCCGTTTCCCAAATGACACATTTTTGTTTCGCAAATTCCAGATTTCGAGTTTCTTTGCAAATTACAAATTTCGTTTCGTTTCGTTTCGCAAACTACAGTAAGCCCTCTTTACGAACTAGCAAGAAATAAAACAACGGTTAAATGATGACATCAATGCAGCTGAGGCACGGCTACATACACACGCCGAACGAGAGCTCTGAAATATTGGATAAGTTTTACGTCCAAGCATTCAAAATTTAAGTTCTGAAAAATTGCTCGCTCGTTTGTAATTTCTCCTCTAAAAGTTTTTTGCGGTCTTTGGCAGAAGAGACATAAGAGGCAAGTTTGATCTGCTTCATTGCTGCAGCTCTCTTGCATAAATCGAACAATTCTGCTTTTTTCTTTCCTTTTCCGCCTTCACTTAACTGAATGCCTCTCTCCCACATCCTCCCACTTTAAGTTTCGATAAATTTTCGCTCATTTTTAGTACAACATCACTTATTCTAAGTGCGTGATACGGGGTTATGCGTTGTCGGGTGAAAGTACCACCCGGCAGTTAAAAATTCAAAACAAATATTGATGGAACATTGGAGTCTGATACACAATCAGCCCTTGCTGAAA